GTACTTCCCAATTGATTTTTCTGTAAACTTAAAACTGCTGTTTAAAAAGTCTAGAAATTTAAAAAAGGAAAATTAAAAAAAGATAGAAAAACCAGAGCTCAAAAAGTGTATCTATCAACTTACTCCTGTTCTGAAAATGAAGGGAAAAAAAGGGTGTTTTATTCTATATGTGTGTGTGTGGAAAGAGAGGAATAAAACTTGAAGAAAAAAGAAAGAAAACTTGAAAACTAAAAGAAGAGTCAGATAAAAATATGAATTTAAGAAACTTCTGGGGGTCCTCCCTTAAATCATTTGGCCCTCCAAGTCGGTAACATGATAGGATCGTGTGTTGACCACTGGCTCTATAGGCTGTGTGGTCCAGGCTATAGTGAGGTGTGCTCTCTCTCCCAAATGGAAGTGCCTCTTCCATTTCTGCTTTCCCCTAGAAAGGAAGAGTTCTAAAAAGAAAGGATTTCAAATTCCAGGGAAGAAATAGTGTTGCCTGACTATTATTTTCATCTTTCAAAACGGAAATAACTATTTCTACACATGTCATTCCTGCTCTCTAAGACCAAATTTTTGAAATAATGATTTGTGCAAAACTCTAAATATTTGTCGAAGGAGTAACAAGTTTTGTGACATTTGGAGCTTTACTTGCTAATTCTTTTTAGCAGGCTCTCAGATTATTTATTTATTTGTTTGTTTATTTGTTTATTTATTATAGGGAGGTGGGCAGAAGGAGAGGGAGAGAGAATCTTAAGCAGGCTCCATGCTCAGTGAGGAGCGCAAAGCAGGGCTCCCTTTTACCACCCTGACATCATGACCTTGAGATTATTTATGACCTGGGCTGAAATTGAGAGTTGGATGCTTAACCAAATAAGCCACCCAGCTACCCCTACTCAGCTTATTTCTAGACCTTATTGTTATTATTAAGTGTATTCTTTATAATAGTTCAAGAAATCATTATATTAAGCAGAACTAAGATATGACCTAGATTTGGAATTGTTTTTGTACTCAAATTATCCTAAAGGCAAAGAGATTTTTTTTTTGAGAAACCTGAATCTTATCAAAATTTAATATAAGTTACAAGCATTCTGAAGAGGAAGAGAACAATTGAATAATACTGAACAAGAAAGATAATGTTTAGTGAGTTAGGCATTTAAATGTTTTAATTTCTATCAATATTTATTTTTATAAGTAGCTAATAGTTATATTTAATTTAATTACTAAGATAATTTTTGATGGAAGAGGTTGTCCTATCTATGCTTGGTGCCAATTTAAGGAGTTTTAAGATAACTATTTATTCCTACTTTTGTGTGTTATATTTTAATAATTTATTTAAAATATTTAATCTTAAACAGGTCAGATTTTTTTAAAGGTATAGGTTGTTTTAGAAAAATGTGACAAAAAAATACAAATTGGGGGATCTCAAAGTGGCTCAGTGTTTTAGCGTCTGCCTTCAGCCCAGGGGGTTATCCTGGAGTCCCAGAATTGAGTCACAAGTTGGGCTCCCTGCGTGGAGCCTGCTTCTCTCTCTGCCTGTATCTCTGCCTCTCTCTGTGTCTCTCATGAATAAATAAATAGAATCTTTAAAAATATATATAAATAGTATCAAATTTACCTTAAAGAAAAATGTCTACATCTAGATTTTTTTGTTAGCAGTATATAAAAGAACAAAGTCAAAGTAACATTTTAATAAAGTCAATTTATATTGTTTCATAGTTGTTCTCCACTATAGTCTGCAAGATACCTTGATGTATATGTACTTGTAAAAACAATCATAAATTTGAAATCAGTATTCCAGAAATAAATTTCATAATAATTCATTTGAGCTGGAATAGTTAACATAATTTTAAATGTTGATATTTTGAAAGGTGAAAATACTATCACATTAGTAATATACTTTGTATTTCACTGAGATTGAAGCTAATGAAATTGAACATTCTCACTTATTCTCTGTAAATTGTCTGAGAAGATCAATACTGAGATTTTTTTTTCTCTCACAAAATTTGTAAATCCCTGAGAGAATAAACCCCCGAGATGTTTTTTCCGATGCTTTTATATTCTGAATACACTTGCCCATTGCCTGAGCAATTATCCACGTAAATCATCTTATACTTATAGAAATAATAGAAATAGAATAGAAATAGAAATAATTTCTATTAACAAAAATGTTATTTTTATTAACATTTTAATCTATGAAGATGAGAGGACTAAATCAATTAAGTTATTGTAATATATTGTTACATCTGTTTTGGCGAATTCCCACCCCTATTGTTTTTTTTTAAATAAAATTACTTAATTTTGCTTATTAAGAAAATAAAAAGAACGGACTAGTGGAATATCTGCTACTGATATTCATGTCTCTAAAGCTTTAGAGTATTAATTTCTTGTCTTTGACAAATTGAGAGGTGGAGTATATATATAATACCCAGCTTAAATTAGTTTATTTGATTAGCTAGGTAAATTCCTTTAAAAAAGATAAACAATGGGAAAAACAATCAATATGGCAGGTGAGGGAGACATGTATTTTTAGTCTTGTGAGCTACTACACAGAAGAACTGAGTGGAATGCTACTAGAACAGTTTCTCCACACTTTTTATGAGCTTCTTTCTTAAAGAGGGGTAGTGGGTGCCTAGGTACCTGACAATAGAAGGGCTGACCTTCCTTTCTGTCTAACCATCTTCTGACAGATCTTGGATTTAGTTTGTTAGTATATAAAACCTCAAAAAATATTTAAATATATTTTATTTATTTCCAATATTAGGCAATTAAATGATGGTCAGATTATCATTTATTTTATTCAATGAAATGACACTGTTGAATGTGCCTAATTTGGGGAGGAGGCTGTGAACTACCCCAGAGACAACAACATTTGACTCTAGCAAGAGGTGAAAAAACAAGAGTGTTAGCTAAGAATTAATCCATTAAGGTATCCTTTTTAAAGACTGACATGATTTATGGTAATCAAATGAGCATACACTTGCTTTTCTGATACTCAGAGTAAAAGATATCTTGAAAAATCTTAAAGGAGAGAAATCCCCCCTCCCCTTTCTTTTCTATTCCTTTAAAGGCACTGGGAAGTAAAAATTGATTCTCCTATACACAATTAAAAAAATATACTAACTTCTAAACTGGGTTTGGTTATCAGCTAGTTTTTAGAAGTATACTTTTATTTTAAAAAATCAGCACTTATATTAAGAAAGACCAAATCTTTTCAGTCCTTTCCCAGCCTCACACATAAATAGAAATATTAATCACATTTAAGATGATTTAAAATTTCCTTTGTTAAATAATTGAAATGATAAAATAAAAGTAAATTTTCCAAGAGAGTAGCAAAGGCACAGGTGCTATTTTGTGGTAACTCACCTGCATTTTTATTAAGATATCCATTGAGTCTGTTTATGTGATTTTTAAAAACGTTCACATACATTTAAAAACTGAGTACATTTTCCCCATTAGTTTTCAGTGAAAACAATACTTCTGAATCACTGAATAGAATCACCATAATGAATCCAATAATTACTGATTATGTTTCTTGCTGTTTACTGATATGACAACTGAATATTTTTCAAGATCCATTCAAAGTTAGTTTTCTACCTAATGTCAGGGATACTGCTTTTCCTCATTTTGTAGAAGATCCTCATAATGCCAAAAACTCATTTCATTTGTGTATGATATCTCTTAAGCTGTACTATTTTCTCACAGCTTACATTTAGTGTGTTTCTCTCATGCAGTTAAAAATATTTATGGTTGGGGCACCTGGGTGGCTCAGTTGATTAAGCATCAGACTCTTGCCTTCAGCTCAGGTCATGATCTCAAGGTCATGAGATGGAGTACCCCCCTACAGCCTGGCACTGAGTATGGAGCCTGCTTCGGATTCTCCCGCTCCTTCTCCCTCCCCCTCTGCCACTCCCACTGCTCATGCTCTCTCTATCTTTCTAAAATAAATAAACAAAATCCTAAAAAAATATATATATATACATGTTCAAAAAATATAAAAATAAAATAAAAATATTACAGTCAAAATGCTTAAAGACAAATCAAAGCATGCAATCTATGGGTCAAAATCATTTTGAAATTGAAGCAATTCATAATTTTTACTTAAGAATTATCAACAAATTTTACTCCTATTTTTTTTCTCCTGCTACCCATTCTTGGCTTTTATTAGTCTTTCTAAACAATCCTTAAACAACTGCTAAGCAATTCTTTTTCTTTTTTCTCCCATAAAAACAAATTCAGGGAAAATAATTATAGACTACATTGTATTTCCTTTCTCTTTTAAGAATGAAAATAGCTTAACTGAATCTCATGGAAACGGTAGGTATTCTTATAATTCAGATTATTTTCTTTTTTGAAATAGAATAATATCCCAGAGATATTAAAGCAGTATGAGCATAGAAGTAGCTTTCTAATCTTTTACCCTAGGACATATCATGGTTCTGAATAATCTACATATGACCTGTATAAAAATGTTGCTTATCACTATATTAAACAGAAGATTAAAAAAGAGTATATATGAATTGGCAATTACACTCTTTCCTATAAATTTAGGTAAAACATTTGGTAGATGGAATAATTTTTTAAATGTTATCAGTCGTTTTTAGTTATCCAGACCCTTCCCAGTACAAAAATTCAACAACTGTTTGATTCCCCACAATATAGAGTCTTGCTGTGGGGAATTTAAAATATGGTTAATACCAGATTTAAAAAAGCTTCCTTTCCAGTGACTAGGAGTATATTGTAGGAATATCTCCAAAAAAAATAATTTCCTAAAATGAATCATCATGACAACAAGTATTATAACAAAGAAAGACAAAGAAACACTATTGGTCCAAAGAAGATAAATTCAGAGAGCTATTAACATGAGAATAGATTTTTTTCTCTCAAGACATATCTATGATACTTGGAAGATTACTGGAAATTAGCATGAGAATTTTTGGTGGAATTAATCTGAAGATTTATCTTGTTAAAGCATATTCAAAACACATTTCACATAGAATAGTAAACAGAACAATTACCTTTAAAGTTGGGTCTAATTCTTGCATCATATCCTGATGTTCTCCCCATTAATTTATCCAGAAAGTCAGAAGGTGACATTGGAGCACTTCGAGATCTTGCACTGTCTGTTTCCTTTGTTGCAACCAAGCTATAAATGAGAACATTCAGATTTTACCAAAAAACGATAACAAAGTCTTCCTAATAATTGTCACCATAAATAGCAAATAAAAATGGTAAGCAAAAATACCTTTTAAAACAAAAAGGAAAACTTTCTCTACTATATACAGTGAATGTTATCATAATGACAGATAGGTCTTTATAGATCTACAGTCAGTATTTATTAGGTTTCACATGTATTCAGCCCAAAGATCAGAGGTGACATTATTTTGTGGTAAGTCTGGGCATAAAGGCATTTCCAAATTAGTAGGCTTTCAAAATTTGTATTTACCCAAGTTTGACTTCTAATAGTAATTTTTAGTTAAAAGTGTCTTAGAGATTCAGGCATAAGAAAAAAAAGAAAATTAAGCTGTGAGATATAATTCTTACTGCTCTTATTGAGGGAAAAGCATCACCTTTCAAGTTTTGCGAAGTCTTCTCAATGGTAATAAAACTTCTGTCCTACAGATTAAGCAGTAATGTTCTTTTCTTCAATTAGAGGCTTCCTATATTAGTAACATACCCAGTTAAATTCATTCTGCTTTCACTTTGTATCATTCATCTACAGCATCTTTTATTCGGATTTAAAATTTGTGCATTAAGATTGAGAAATCACCATCAATGTGATCAGTGCACCTGGTTATTTTACAATAAGAATGTGTGTCCAGGAAAGTAAAGAGTTACTGTACTTTTTTTTCATTCAGACATTTTCTGCTTTATGCAGCTGCTCATCCTAGAAGCACAAAAGTGTCGCTGCACCCCATCCAGCTCCTCATTTACTTAGGCTGGTCCACAGAAGGCCAGGGTCTGCTTGTTAAGATCAAATAATTCTTTTTATCCATAGAGCTTTGCTCAGGGAAGTGCAACAGACTTCCTGGGCACACATGTGTTTGAAACTGATATATTCTAGCTGATGTTACTTCCTGGAGATTGTCAGTCATCAGATCCTCCCAGCTCTGTCACTCAACTCAGAGCATTGCCAGGCCCTGAGCCTCTGTGGTCACAGCTTGAACTCAGCAGTATCAAATTCCTCCTGCCAGAATTTTTAATAAGTAGTGAAAATGGGTCTTACAGCCATCACTGTTGAATTGTCTACCACACACAGAGGCACAATTTTAAAATCCAATATCAATCATAATGTGAGATTGATGTTTCTGAAAGTGGAGGATCACAGCTAACAGCATCCATTAACTATTGTGCAGCTCCAAAGCTTCTATCTAGTTCTGGACATTCTAAGCCACTTATCAGCCCAGCAGCTCTCTTTCCGACTCTCATGTTTTTTGCCTGACAAGAAGTTTCTCTTCGCCCTATTGTTTTGGCTCCACATTATTTTGTAACCTTTTACCTCTGATTATTACTGGTCAGTTGAACTCCCTGTCACCCAGATCTCTGAAAAGTTTATTCCAATGTAATAATAATGATGATGACGATGATGCTGATGATATCATAAAAAGACCACTACATTCTCAATAACTCTAGAACTTCCTCTACCATCTGGTTTTAGGTAACTTTCACCTGTCCTCTTAAGTAGTATTTCCTCATTTCCCATAGCCCAAGAACTCTCATAACTACAGATTTCTGCTTCTAAACCATTCCCCACATTTCTTTTACAAAATCCTTCCTTTCGGTTATCAGAAAATAAACTTCTACATTCTCCTAACAACAAATAAACCAATTTACTTTGACCTGAACGAATTATACCCTTTGCTTCACCTTTTAAAAATCAATAGAATACTATGTATGCTAAACTGACAATCCCTCACATTTTGCACTGCATGGGGAAGATAATTCTAGATTATCCAGATTAGCCCTGTGTGCAATGACCTGTATTTTTATAAAAGAGGCAGAGGAATATTTGACTACACACAGGAGGGGCAGGCACTGTGACCAGAGAGGCAAAGAGTATCAGAGTGATGTGCATAGCCAAGAAATACCAGCAGTCAACAGAGCCAGGAAAAGGAAGGAACACATACTCTCTTCTAGAGCCTCTGGAGGGCACTCGGTTCCTATTCACACCTTGTTTTGGTCCCAGTGAACTGACTTTAGACTTCTGGCCTCCGGAACTGTGGAAGAATAAATCACTGTTGTTCGTTGTAATTGTTATAGCAGTCATAGGAAGTAAGCACTAGCCTTCCAGTGAGTTTTTCATTTAGTTATTCCACTTTTTTTTTTAATTTTTATTTATATATGATAGTCACACACACACACACACAGAGAGAGAGAGAGAGAGAGAGAAGAGGCAGAGACATAGGCAGAGGGAGAAGCAGGCTCCATGCACCGGGAGCCCAACATGGGATTCAATCCCAGGTCTCCAGGATCGCACCCTGGGCCAAAGGCGGGCGCTAAACCGCTGCGCCACCCAGGGATCCCTATTCCACTTTTTTGTTGCTGTTGTTATTCCAGTTTTCAACTCGAGAATTGCTCTTTTGTTCTTCTTTGTATTTTCTATCTCTTTGTTGGTATTTTGCATTGCAGAGATAATTATTGTCATACTTTAATTTTAGTTCTTTGGACAGAGGGCTCTAGTTTTTTAAAAATGTATTTAAAATAACTGGTTTAAAGTCTGGGGCACCTGCGTGGCTCAGTGGGTTAAGCAATTGACTCTTGATTTTGGCTCAGGTCATGATCTCAGGGTTGTGGGACTGAGCCCTGTATCAGGCTCCAAACCCAATGAGGAGTCTGCTTCTCTCTCTCCCTCTGCTATTCCCCATCCTCTCTAACATAAATAAATAAATATTTAAAACAAACTAAAGTCTTGTTTAGTAATTCCACTGTCTTTGCTTTCTCAGGGAAGATTCTGTTGATTGCCCTTTTTCCCCCTGTGTATGAACCACACCTTTTTTTCTTTAAATATCTCATAATATTTTTACTGAAAATGGGACATTTTAAATAATATAGTATGGTTACTCTCTAAATCATATTCTCCCTCCTTCCTGGGGTTTGTTGCCACTGTCTGTTTTTTGTTTTTGCTTTTTTTCTTTAATTGGCTTTTCTGAACTAATTCTGTAAAGTCTACATTCTTCATTGTGTATGACTATAGAAATATCTGTGTGGGTGGCTTAGAAATCACCTAAAAATTGGACAGGGATTTTCTTAAATTCCTAAAACCAATAAATCCCCTAGTAATTTCTGGAGGCTCTGTGTTTATGGGGTCACACCTTCAACACTGAGTCAGCAGTTGACAACTCTGCCTTCACCTTGATTTGCCATTTGCACAGGGGTTCAAGGCCAGCCAGTGTTCAGAACTTAAGGTCTTCTCAGGTCTTTCCTGAGTATGCACACAACTAACTCTATGTATATTAGTTTGCTAGGGCAGTCTTAACAAAGTACCACAGACTGAGTGGCTTAAACGACAGAAATTAATTTTCTCACAATTCTGGGGGCTAGAGGACCAAGACCACATTGTTGGCAGGGCTAATTTCCTCTGACAGGTTCCCTCCATGGCTTGCAGATGGTCCTCTTCTATTTCTTCCTTTCTGTGTGTCTGTGTCCTAATCTCCTCTTCTTAGAAGGACACCAGTCCTTGATTAGGACCAACCCATAGAACCTAGGTTTATCTTAATTATCTCCAAATAAAGGCACATTCTTAGGCATCAGGAGTTAGGATTTCAACATATGAATTTTGAAAGGATTCAGTTAGGCCCATAATGCTGGGCATGCTCACAACCCCATACATATATGTAGTCTTCCAGATACCTGGAAATGTGTGGGCTTTTCCAAACCCCTATGGGCATATCAATTCCATTGCTTTTCCTTTTAAGCTTTTTGGTTAGCCTATTGTTTGCTCCCACTGTTACTCACTGACTCAGGCACCTGTGAAATTAGAACATTGTCTCTAAATGCTTTTGACAAACATTCCCAGGAAAAAGACTTATGCTGAGTGAGCTCCAAGTTAGGTCTAAAGGAGTCTTGCTAATGGAGTCTTCCAGAGAACCTCCAGGCAGGTCAAATAGTGACAGTTCTTCAACAATGAGGCTTTAATGGAATTCAAACTCCTTCCTATCCACTCTACCAGCTTCCAGGTTGTTGGTTTTTACTGTAATTGCAGGCCATTGGTTTACAATGCTACCATGGAGCTAAGTAAGGAGGACAAGAATAGGATAAGTTATAGCCACAAATCCCACTATTCTTACCAAGATTCAGCTATTTTTCTTGATTAAACTACTTCATATATTGCTGCAAATCTCTGGTGAAATGCCAGAGTTCTGAAAAAATTGGTTGTCACATTTTTTGGTAGTTTCTCACTGCTTTTATGGTGGAAAGGATTTAAAGACGTCTGTAAAACTGAGAGAACTTTTTATTTTATTTATTTTTATTTATTTATTTATTTATTTATTTATTTATTTATTTGAATCTAAAGTTATAGTGCATTTTTATTATGTAAAAATATCCTTTCTCATGTCAAAAGCACTTAAATATCTGTTAAATATTGAAACAATGAATTTTGAGTTCTCATAATTTATTAGGTGCAAAGCACTGTGCTAAAAAGCTAACATACATAGAACACAAATTTGAAGTTTTACAGTATTCATAGTTCAATAGATTACTCTGTTTTGGCCCATCTGAAGTCTACAGAGAATCCCTGAGAAGTATTAGTGAGCAGGAGCTGAAAAGAGGTTATAGTGAAGAAAATGATTGGCTCCCTTCTTCCTACCACTGAGAGCAAAATCGTCATGCTTTGTAACAGGGATTCACAACCAAGCTTTGCAGAATGATGCTTGTAAAAAATGAGAAAATTATGAGCAGAGAAATTTTCCAATTTTATTAGTTATGTTCCTTTCAATGACATAAGAACTATCCAAGGGCTTAGAGACAATTGATTTTATCACTAAAGATTCACAATTTTGACTCAGAAGGAATTATTGCTCACAAAACAACATGGAGTAATTGGCTGAAAAGCATCTCTCCATCATCTATCCCTTTTTTCTGAAAGGCATAGAGGCTATGGATATGGGAGATCATGACCTGACGCTTAACTGACTGGACGCTTAA